TGATAGTCAGCGTCGACTACTTTAAAAAGTGGATAGAGGCTGCAGCCCCCGCCAAAATCACGACTTACAACATATTTTGTTTCTACAAAAAGAACATACTTCCCTGGTTCGATATACCCTAAGCAATCGTCACCGGTAACAGGACCGATAAGAACCTCTAGGACTTCGTTAGCAATCTGGGCATGAAGCAACACTTCACATCTGTCGAGTACCCACAAACGAATGGGCAAGCCAAAGCCGCAAATAGAGTGATCCTGTGAGGCCTGAAACAAAGATTAGGCGAGGCTAATAAGAGGTGGATCAAGGAGCTACATATCATGCTCTGGGCCTATAGGACGACCCCACACTCGACAACCGGGGAAACCCCATTCCAACTGACCTACGGAACCAAGGCAGTAATTTCGATGGAAATAAGGGAACCCTCTAAGAGGACCAAACCTCCCCTCGACGAGGAGACAAATGATGAGGCCCTAAGGGAAGAACTCGACCAGGTCGAAGAAATCCGGTTGGGGGCATCCCTCCATGAAGCCTCGCTCAATAAAAAGATAACTTTGCGACATGATAACAAAGTCATCAAACGCGAATTCCAGGTAGGCAGCCTAATCCTACGAAGGAACCAAAAAGACTCGCGTGAGGGCAAACTCGTTGTGAACTAGGAAGGTCCCTATTGCGTCCGCGCGAGAACAGAGAACATGGCATACTACCTCTAAAACCTTCACGGGGAGGAACTCGCTCGACCATGGAACGCTGAAAATCTTAAACATTATTATAGTTAAAACACTGCCCACGACGTATTTGGTTTAACCGCAACAAGGTACGTCGCGACCACAAGGCCCGCTGGGGTACAAGCGCAACTCCTAAACTCGAGACAAAAAGATAAGAGCTCGCTCTTGTGTGTGCGAGCGAACTCTTTATCTGAAAGGGACACCTCAACTGAGCTCCACCATTGTCGTACCAATTAGGCAGAACGCCTAGCTCATGATGGGAAGTTCACACTACAAAGCAAAGACCTTGATCAAGCTCTTGGCATCGTCGAATGTCGGGACCCAACTCCAATCACTCGGTCAGTTCTCCGTACGGTCGAGGACCAAGTACGTCAAGCAAAGGCTTCAGTTACTTAGTAAAAACAGGCAAGTAAAGTATTGCATATTCACGAGGAAAGTAAATATTTGACATACAACAACACACACAAAATATGAACATACCAAACAATAAGACACCGTGCATTCAAACGGGAAAAACCCATTGTTCAAACATTACAATGCAAGGCGCGCAGACTTGGAAATATCAAAACCCATAACACGTAGGCCAGGAAAAGTCAGGTTATAAATTACGGCACACAGGCCGAACAAAACAACAATTAAAATGGCGCGTAGGCCAAATAACTAAAAAGAATCAAATAGCGGCTTCCTCCTCAAGCCAGGGCTCCCTGTCGCTCTGGTCAGATCCACTGTCGGACACTTCAGGGGCAACTATTTGGTCGTCACCACCTGGTGGAAAGCACTGATCTCGTTGGTAATAAGTTGAAGCCCGAGGTTCACAATCTAAAGTTGATTCACCGCCATATTAAAGCCCAGCTCAAGGGTCCCCAGGAAATCTTGCTCGAGCAACCGAATCCGAGAAACTGGGTCGCCAAAAGCTTTTCTTTGGCACTTTTGTCCTTGGTAGGGCGAGCAACGTCCTCTAAACCAGGAACTTTGACCTGTAGTTGGTCCCTCTCCTCCTCAGTCTTCCTCAGCTATTGTTGTAACACGCTCTTATCTTTAAAGAGGCGCACCTGAGACTCAAACTTTGAGTAATAGTCAAGAAGGTCGGCTTCCACCTTGTCCTTCTCCACCTCCAGGAGTGCATTCTTCTCTCACAGCTTCTTCAGCTCAGAGGAGAGGCTAGTTTCGTCATTAAGTACCATGACCATCTCAAAGATCCTCATCATGGCTACCATATCCTCGCATAGGGCTTTGGACTCCACCATGCCCGTCTTGTCAACCCCCATAATTGCTTTGGACTCCGCTGCAGGTACGATCACAAATTTATCCCCGCTGAAGAGCTCATAATGGAGGTGGTAGAGAGGCAACACAAATCTTTCCTTGACAACACCTTCTAGGAGGTTGACGGGGCCGAACTCCTCGAGACGTTGCTTCTTAGCCGGAGGGTCCTGAGAGACCGGAGACTGGCTTCCCCAAGGAGAGGAAGAACCCCCAGACTGCTGGTCAGCCTGGGCCATCTATTGGACTTGGGTGATGCGACTTTTGGTGGTTTTCTTGGCGCCTTTGGTCATCGCAAGCTTCAACGCGCGCTCCTAGATGCTTGACATCTAGCTTGCAATAGAGAAAAAGGAAAACAAGTTAATACAGTGAGAAAAATAAGCGGGCATGCACTACCTAAGAACCTCAAGGCTTCCTCATCAGACCCTCACTTAAGGAGGGCCTTGGTGTTGATTAACCAAGATTCACAGTGAACCTCCCCGCGCTCGTCAAGAATAAAACTCCCATCCTTGTTGACACATTTAGTGGGAGTGAAACCAAAGACGAACTTGATTATCTTCTAGTAAGATAACCGATCTTCGACGATCAGAGAGCTGGACTTGACGATGTAGCTGTTTGTACCTCTGTTGAAGTGACCCTCCTCCCACTCAAGAGGGAACTTCAACTCTAAAGACTCCACCCGTTGCTCGTCCTCCTTCTTGACCACAAGGTCGTACAGGGAGTCGACGACCACATGTGACACAAGCTTTACGACAAAGAACATGTCCTTAAAGTTACTGACAGAATCCTGGTATGCACGGAACAACTTCCTCAGATGCTTTAGGGATACCCAACTATGTCGACCTTGGAAGGATTGTCGTTGCAGGTGAAAGTTGTGGAAGAACAAGGGGACCGTGGCTCCAATGCAAAGATGTTGACACACGAGCTCGAACGCTCGCACGAGCGCAATCGCATTGGGGTGAAGCTGCGAAGGCGCCAGGTGTAGCCACTGGAACATCCCCTTATGGACGTCACTAAAGGGCAGACGAAGCCCCGCGTCTCGAAACGCGAACTCTTACATCGGGAACCACATCCTTTTGAACCTCAAGCAAATGCGATGCTTCTCTTTAGGCTTGTAAACCATCAAACTCGAGGGAGACGCCCTCAGCGCGGTTCTCGATGGTGGCAAAGGCGTCCGAGTCGTCGATCGCGAAGCGCGACGCGGTGCTGAGAGGTTCCTGCCTGACCCAATCTTCAGGCGTGCGGGCTCGCTCGACCCCGACTTGCTCAACAGAGGTGTCAGACATGACTTCCTCATCGATTATAATGACATCCCCGGTCCTTGCAGCCATTTTTCCTGAAAAGTAGATGAAAACAGTGAATTCGACATCTAAGTTCAAATCCACCTTCCACCGCAAATCAAGTGAAAGGGCAAAGGGAGGGGCGAGGAGCCGCTTAACGAACTTCCCCAACCATAACACCCGGCGAGGAAAAATCATCCACGAGGAGACTCTCCTCGATGCGGAACAATGAGTCTCCTTCCTTGGTAGAAAGGCCCATCCATGAGGAGACTCTCATCGACGCGGAACGACGAGTCTCCCTCCTCGGTAGAAAGGCTCCTGAACGCGTAAAATCTCATCCCTCTAATTGAACGTGGGAAGCCTCCTCGACGAGAGGTTTCCTCGTGATGTTCACGCGTTCGCCGAGAGAAGGGCTCCCCGAGACCTTCAACGTAGGTCCCCGAGGCCTTCACCGGAAACCCCACTAAGGTCCCCAGAATCCTCATGAACTCTCTGACATCTTCATCGGAAACTTCATGGGGTTTGTCAGGAACTTCATCGGTTCGCCGAAAACTTTATGGGGTTCGCCGGAAACCTCATAGACTAGACGAAAACATCATCAGGAAGTTTATAAAATCTGGAAAAAAACGGTTAAAGACTTACTTGAAGGAAGGAGATTTTAGACAGTGGAGTAAGGCTGACGGTAGCTACAACGACAGACATACTTTGGAGAGCAGAGAAAGCTTTGAGAGACTTAAGGAAAAATTTCTGAGTAGAATAAAGGGGAGCATGTGTGGACCGCTATTTATATACTTAAATTATTACATTCTTTGTCTCATAATAACTAATTTATTATTACTAAAAAATCTAAAAATAATTAACTTATTTCAATTTTTAATATGATATTATTTTATTATTTTTCGATTGTTTCATCTAATTAATAGTATCACTTGCCTCACATTCATTTCAATATCTACTGCTTTAAATTCGATTGTTACACCAAATACAATGGTATTGGATGTGATGGAGAGTTCCATATTAATTAAGATATTATGTAATATTCATACATATTTTTTAATCTATATAATTAATTAAGTAACTAATTTTAGGAGGGAGACAGTAGTTTGGTGCATATATGCACACATATAGCACTAATTCTAAATCAAGTGGATATATTGAAGATTGCATGTTTGTTTATTTCTCCATTCTACAGAAAATATATAATCATTGGAAAACTAATGATAGTGTGCATTTGTTAAACCAACCTTCTTTCAATGAATACTAGTATAATGGATCAAATGATAGATAGTGATAGTGTTTTAGGAAGCAATCATTAATAATATATTTATGGTACTAAATATATAGTAATTATGAACACCCTCTATCACATAAATATTATATACAACTAAATCAGTAACCCAAACTCACTAACCAAACATAAAGACAAATTAACATCTGATATTTTAATTATAAATAAAAAAAGTAGAATGGCAGTATGGTAATTCAGGTAAATAGAGAGGTCAAAAACAAGAAAGGTCATTTATAGAAACGATAGAAAGAATTTGAAAGTAGTGTCCGTTTGAATTAAGAAGTTGAATTTAAAATCTATGTTATGATAGAAAAGCTTCATTGTTCTGAGTAGAAAATTGAATGCAACCAACGCAACACATTAACTAACGCACTTTTCCACCTCTCTCTCAAAATTTAAACCACACTGTCCTTTCTTCTTCTCCACCCACAAGAGAGAGAAACAATTATGACGGGACTTGTCATGGTTACCAGAGGCGGTGGATGCGGCGGAGGAAGTAAGAGAACACGAGCAGCACGAGCGGCTGAAGAAGAAGAACAGCAGAACCAGCTTTCACTTGTGGCGTTGCTGTTAGCTGCGATTAGGAAATCTATGGTGGCATGCAGAGTAGAGAGGCCTGATGAAGTGATATCCACCGTTCATCAAATGGAGATCGGATGGCCGACGGATGTTCAGCATATTACGCATGTTACGTTTGATCGGTTTAATGGATTTCTTGGGCTTCCTGTTGAGTTTGAAGTTGAGATCCCGGGTCGTGTTCCCAGTGCTAGGTACATTCTACTTTTGCTTTTTCTTTAATTTTTTTTTTGAAATGTTTCTTTTTTCTTTAATTTGCAATGAGTGTGTTTCTATTTGCTCTTGAGGCAAAACTGGAAACACTTAATTAACTAAAACAGGTTTTTGTGTAGTCCAGAAAATGATATAACCAACCAAGGGGATCTGGATGAAATGAAACTCCTTTGGATGAACAGCTCAATTAAGCCCTATCCAAGAAATGAAATGAAATTCCTTTGAAATAGTGATCTGATCTTGTAGACTATTACCTAGGGACCAATGAAATTTAAGTGTGAGTAGTTCAGTCTCACATAGACTATAAAGAGAGAAAATGTTGGATATATAAGAGAGAAGATCTATACACTCGTTGCTTAAGATTTTGGGTGAACATGTGGTGACTGACTCGGTCTCTTATGGTCTCTTATTAGAGCTTGGTTTGGCTTGGGGGAGTGGGAGTTGGATCTTGTGTTGGATCCTGATATCAGGATGTGGAACAGGGACTTGTTTGGATAAAGAGCTGAAATAAGCCCATATTGCATAAGTGTTTGTCATATAAGTATTTGAGGGTAAGTTATTTCTATAACAAAAGATAAACTAAAGTCAAACTATTTCTAAAGGCTACCTTGTTGAGCGTATGAAAACAATTTATAGGTATGTCGCAAGTAGTTTTTGTAGCTCTTCCAAACAGTTGAAGAAATGCTTATGTTACTACCTAGGCTCAAATAAGCTGATCCAATCATGCCCTAGATATATAATTGCAAAATGCGGATGCTTCATATTATTTGGGGTTTGGTACACACCACATCAGAACTCCTTGTGCAAAATTCTTTGATACATGAACTGTTCTATCTTATTTACGGTTTTTATTAGATATTTTTTGTAAGTTAAAGTCCACCATTTTTTAAATCTTAGCGTTAGTGTTACCTATCTAGAATTTTTTTGTCTGTATCTGTGTTTGTTGAAATTGTTCTGACTTGCAATTCACTCTCATATATGCTTGCAGTGTAAGTGTGTTTGGAGTCTCAGCTGAATCTATGCAGTGTTCTTATGATTCAAAAGGAAACAGTGTCCCCACTATTCTCATGTTAATGCAGGATCGTTTATATTCACAGGGAGGATTGAAGGTACTGACTACTGAGAGTGGATATTCATATTTTAACATTGTTAACGTCCTGTGAATCGTCATTTCAGGCTAATCTGTTTTCTCATTTCAATGTAATTTCAGGCTGAAGGTATATTTCGCATAAACCCAGAAAATAGTAAAGAGGAGCATGTGAGAAACCAATTGAATAGTGGTATTGTGCCTGATGACATTGATGTCCACTGCTTGGCGGGACTGATCAAAGCCTGGTTCCGAGAGCTTCCTTCCGGAGTGCTAGATGGTCTTTCCCCTGAACAAGTTCTTCAATGCAACACAGAAGAAGAATCTTTTGAGCTTGTGAAGCAGCTTAAACCAACCGAGTCAGCCTTACTCAGCTGGGCTATTGATCTCATGGCTGATGTTGTCCAAGAGGAGGAATATAACAAAATGAATGCAAGAAACATTGCAATGGTTTTTGCTCCAAACATGACTCAGGTAAAAGCATGCAAAGCCTTTGCTTCATGTTCACATGTTCCTATTTTCTTTAGAGGTTATCCTTATTTTGTTTACATATTCCTGATGTTATTTGTTTTGTGAAACAGATGTCTGATCCTCTAACTGCGCTAATGCACGCGGTTCAAGTGATGAACTTGCTAAAGACGTTGATAATGAAGACCCTTAGGGAGCGTGAAGACACAGCCACAGGTGGATATTCACCCATGTCCTTTCGCACATCATTTCGCCGGTCAGAGGATGAATACGACAGTCAGCGAGAAACAGCAACGTGTGGATATTCACCCATGTCCTTTCGCTCATCGTATCGTCCATCTGAGGATGAATATGACAGTCAACTAGAAATAGAAGCAAGTGGTGAATTGAAAGGGACCAAATCAGATTTCAACGATCACACTCATTACAGAAATAGCAGCGAAGAGGAACTGGAAGCTGAATCTCTGAGCGAGATAGAAGAATGCTTCTTAAAACAGTTGGATGAGAACGCGAATACCAAAGAATTCTCAGAAGAATCTGCAGAATATTTGCAAGAGTGTGTGAGCTCCAAAAGTTGCTGCGACTATAGTGCAGAACCATCTTTATCAATAACTGATAGCAAAACTGTTCCTTTGTGCTTGAGTTCTGACAAAGAAAAGATAAATGCTGATGTAATGATTCCGTTACTAGGGTGGACAGACACAGATGACGTGGAGATGGTTGATAAATTCACAGATTCGGTTTCGCCAGTGCCGCTGCTTGCATCTAGCTAAAAACTTGTTTTCTTTTTAGTAGAATTTGAAGTACCTTGTTTCAGATTTTGTCTGTACTAGAAGTTGTGCATGTGTATATGATTATTACATGGAAAAGGAACTGTTTGCTTATTGTGTATTGTGGACAGGTTATGTTCAGTTTAGGGCTGAATTTGAGCTAGTTCTGTTCTGCATGTTTCTGTACTTGACAACTCTAGCCATGACAAATGAGGATGGCTATTGGGTAAGGAGTAGCTATATTTTCATATTTCAGTTAGGTGAAGATTCTAAGCATAGTACTCATTGATTTAGCATAAGATGAGGCTTGCTGTTTTTCAGTCCAATTCTTATATGATCAAATGTTAAAATAATAGTATCGATAGTGTTGTGTTTTTGTTGTTGTTATATTATAGAGGGGGTTGACACCACTTGATGTCATAATTAATTCTGGAACCCTTGAATCAGATTAGTCTGTCCAATGGATTAAATACTAGTGAAAAAAATATGTCTTTTTGTGGAAGTGTTACTTGTTAGGCTTCGGCTGTCTACTATAACTTTTTGATCTAAGAAAGAGCAACAAATTACATATAGTTTTTTTTATGTGGACTTTACGTTTAGGGCTGACAATGAACCGAATCAACTCGAAAATAGTTTGAAATTCGGTTCGAAAATTAAATCGTTGAACTAGGTTCATGAACTAAATGAGTTGAATATGAACAAAAATTTAAGTTCGTTAATTAAATGAGCTGAACTTGAATTATACATAGTTCGATTCGTTAGGTTCATGAGTCAACTCGATTACATATGAGAAGAATTATACTGTCTTTAAGATTATGATTAAATATTTACTCCAAATCTTAGACAAATTTAATCTTTAATTTAGTAGTTTTTGAATTAGACTTTCAAATGTATCTCTTGAAAGTTGTGTAGGTTTTGAATTAGTAAATTTCTGAGATAAAGTTAAATTTTAATATGATAAATTTTATTTTATTTTAATATCTTATTTAAAAATATATTAATTTAAAATGTCAAATATACTAAAAAAAATAGATTTAAAAAAATAGCTTTTAAGTCCGTGAACCATGTGAGTTGAACCTAATGAGATGAATCTAACGAGTTGAACCGAACTGTTCGTGAACTTATAACGAGTCGAGTTTGAACTTAAAAAAAAGTTCGTGTCAAACTCGAACCGAGATATGAGCTGAACCAATTCTTAACGTGTCGAGTCGAGCTGAGGTGAGTTCGACTCGACTCGACTCATTTTCAGCTTTAGGTCAAGGTATAACTCCTTTTTGATATCAAACAAGTTTTTAACATTTTAATATAAAATAACCTAATTATGTACTACTTTTTTAACCTCATTAAATTTAATGTGAAAATACCTTCATTTATTATCGAGTAACTCGCCTTAGTTCATTTTGTATAATTTGTCTGTGCAACTATTTACGTATTACTTAATATGTATCACAAATGAGCTGAAGTTGTTTGATTTATGTATCATAAATGTGCTGAAGTCTAGTTGACATTGTTAATCGATTCTTTTTTTTCTCAACTTTTTTATTCTTTGTGAATTCTTCTTTTATTATATATTTGTTAAGAATAAATTATGTTAATATCAGTATATATTGAATAATTCTTTGATAGAATAGAATATATTGTATCATATTATCTATGTAATTAATTTAATAAATTGTACCTTCTCTGTTCAAAATAATTGTCCTTTTTTATAAAATTATATTTCTTAAAATAATTGTCATTTTTAGTTTCCAAAGTTATTATAACGTATATCTTTCAATTATTTTCTCTAATTAATACTTTCAATTTATTATTCTTTTATTCTGTATTTATAATAATTTAAATACACTAATAATAAATAAGAATAATTTGGTAAAAGTACTATTCTCTTTTTACTTTATTATATTTTTTTATTTTGTGTAAAATGTTCAACTATGACAATTATTTTGGGACGGAGAAAGTAAATTTTATTATATAATAGAATTTTCTTAGTGATATTCAAACACGGGTTTATTCAAATATCTCACACTCTTTCTTATTTCAATATGGTATTTATGGTCGACCATGTGCCTGTGCAAACAGTGCCATAACACACGGCCTCACATTTAATGGGCCCCATAAAACCTTCTAAAGAGTTGGAGAATTTCTTAATGCACCCTATATATTACTAGTGCACCACGTGAAAAATACTAAAATGCATCTAGATTTCGAAGACGTATCTCCGGACGCACCCAATACACACACAACCTAGGTCATTCTCAGTGACGCCCTAGAAGTTGGGTTTTTAAAACCCGAAGACGCATCTTCGGAATCTGTCCGTAGAAGCATTTCCGTAACGTATGTGCAACAGTATTAGAGGCAGAAACCAAAAACTTGTAATTTTACAAAATAAAATTATTATTCATAACAACAAAAAATTAGCATTACATAGATGATTTCAACTTAAAATGCAACACTACACTTCAATATCCAGGTGAACGCTTCAACATCTTCAGAATATCTTTGACCGATCTTAAAATCGTCGCTTCCAACTCAAGCGAAACTCAACAGAAAAATGTATTTCAAATAGTCCTTACATTAGCATCTGTCTTGAGCACAAAGCTGTTGAACTCAATCTTTCCTCTGTTGTTAATCGACGGGGAATAATACTCAAGCTTTATAATTTTTCGATTATCTCCGTAAGGTAGGAGACGCCCACGTCGTATTCCAGATCTGTAAAAGAGGTGTACACGTTGAGCTTAAACTTTCACCCTGGGTGTCGCGTTAGAGAATGAGACATTTGCGACATACCAGATGATGTTATTTGTGACATTTGAGACATTTTCTCTTTGTGTGAAATAAAAAAACAGAGCCCCTAAATTTATAGAAGTTTTATACAAATGTGTACCAAAAATTCTACCAAGCATCAGTGTTGGTTTCAGAGATACATCTCTGGTACCGCTTTCTTGTCTTATTTCACAGATACATCTCTGAAACCTCTCCTGAAGCAGGCAGAAAACATAATCGAATTAATTGATGACTTTGTTTGGCAAATGAATAATTTTTTTGGCAAAGATAAAAAATATATTAAAATATTAAGAAATTGAATATATTACATTCATTAATATTTAGACACAATTACATACATTTATTTGTCTGACTAAACAGAAAATTAAAACAAATCGAAGTATTTTTCGCCGGCTAAATCTAGAGGTGGTACCCCCTTTGACTTTTGTGCATTTGATTCTCTTTTAATGTTGTTCAATTTCTCTAAATCTTACATAATTTCCACAAAATGTTTCGGACAAGTCTCGACTTTTGTTGCTAAAAAAATTGCCCACTCCAATAATATAAGTGGTATAGGACATCCCGGTTACAAAATGGTATAGAGCCATCCAATACACATAATGCAATCTTTTAGATTTTGAGATGGAGCGGTGCACATTGGAAAAAAGGTTTCCAAAAAACTGTATCGTGTAAGATCAATACAGACTCTATCATACACACATGCTATGAGGTGACCCATTTCAAGGAATCACATCCATTTAACCTTCGGTGTCGGTTCGCTAAGGCAAGAAATAAGAGACTCATAAATTACATTAATGTTTTCTTTATTTTTTTCGTAAAGTCGTGTGTATGTTTCTTTATGAGTCCTCAATTCATAGATAAATTGATGGTAGGCAAGTGTATGATTATTTTCTCCTTTACCGAGTAAAGTTGAAACAACTCGATAACCGCAGATAATGTCACCTTCAACATTGATGATTTGCTCGATGTATTTGTGCATAAAAACTGACATCTCGTCAATGAATGAAATCTTTGGTGGAGGTGGCGAAGGAGGTGGTTTGCTAATGCGAGCTCCTCTAAAAACACCTTTTTTTTAGATTTTGGAGTAGGTGAGTCCGGAAAAACTTTGTCAAAATATTCAAATTATGAAGGAGACCCCATTGTTGAATTGTTACTCGGTGTAGGCTTGAGCTTGTTCGAGCACCTTTTGTTTGTACCGGTTGAGAGAGTGGTTTCAAGTTGGTGGTTTCCAAATAAGCATTATTCCTCAACTGTTCTTTGATGTGGAGTTCATATTGTCACCGACTTTCAAAAATCTCTCTTGTATCACTTTCCATTCGGTCGAGATATAAATATTCAATTTACCGTCTTTCATGACACCACCATCATCATCATCAGACCTAAGCCACTTCCAGTGAGTGTAAACCACATCCATTCTTATCGGGCTACCAAGTTTCACCTTTTCTACAATAACACAAAGCACATGGGATACCATATAATTTCACAATTATGCATCCGTACTTTGCGCTATCGGAGCCTACATTATCAGCTTGTTTAGGTTCGTAAAAAATATCATCTCGTTTAGCTTCGTTTACCATTTTTCAATCTTTAAACTGTATTTATTTCGTTCCCATCGTGGGTTTTACCCGACTTCTCACATTATAATTTGTTATATGATACCTATAAAGTAATGTATAAGAAGTAGAAAATACCTTTACAACCGAATTCATTAACACTGTATCACGGTCAGTAACAATAACTTTAGACATCTCATATTGGTCCTTCAACATTTCCCGACATACCTCAAAGGCCCAAGTGACATTATCCTCTTTTCTCTCTCTAGAAACACAAACCTCATAGAATAGGTCTTCTCAGTAAAGGTAACACCAACTATTTCCAATAATGGAAGTCTGTACTTATTGGTCTTGTATGTTGAATCAATTATGAGCATAGTAAGAAATGTGTTGAACAACTGATGGAATCAGGATGAGCCCAAAATAGACCTCTAATGGTAACTCTATCCTCGCGCATTCGGTACCTAGGCACATAATTGTTATTATCCAACAGTTTCAAGAGTTATATAAACTAAGCACCTTGTTAGTTTGGTATCAAATATTGTACACTTAGTTGATATTTGAGATATTTTCGGGTCTTTTATGTTTCAAAATTGCAAGTATATTTTTTGTTTGAACAAAATTCAATGTCATGTCAACAACACATTTCTTCTCTTCTAGCATAGG